CAACTCCACGTTCTTATCAATCAACATATTCATCCCCCCCCTTTACCGGAGGTGTCACCTATAATAGAATCCAAACTTTCTATACGTATACTTCTTTATTCATTCCCTGTAATTTAAAAAAAGTACTTAAACTGTGCGCCCTGGCATAGTATATTACCCGGGAGATCATATATTCGGTAGATAAAGGTAGTGTATATTCTAAAGGAGGAGGGTGGTTTAACCCGCGAAATACGATAACATATCAATCTACAAGAAAAATTTAAGGTTGAACACTATGTACAGTAATGTATCTATAGATACATTAAATGTATCAAATTACACATAATAAAAATAAGGTTATATACTCAACAGAGCAATATTTATTTGTTTACTATACAAGAAAAAAAAAATTTTATTTATCGTGTAATTTTAGTAGTAATAGTACATTGTATCGAATAAAAAATATATAGTTAAAATATTACTTTTTTTACTGCCTAAAAAGATGATTATGTAGAAGTAATGTAGAACGTTATATGATAATCAACTTAGAAAAATATTTGGAATATCGAAATAGAAATCTTTTTGACTATAAGAAAGATTATCACGGATTTAATGGATTTAATGAATTTGTGAAGTATATATATATAAAAATTCTTTTTTGTTTAAAGAAGAAAAAAATATTATTTAGGTTACAAGTTATGCGTGGTTAAAATTTAATATTTAATCTTGTGAAACGAAAAAAAATATGGTGTTAAAATCATAAAATGTGGTGAATAAGTGGTGAATAAGAGGAGTATATGTATAATTTTTTTTTTTTGCTATATATTACAAAAGGAAAGGTAAATTAACTGTGTGAAAATTATGCAAAAATTTCAATACAATATGCTATAAAAAGAAATATAAATGAAAATCATAAACTAAGTGTGTTAAGCTTGATATATATGTTTCTAGTCATTGTAATTCCTATTCGATTCCAAATGAAAGAGATCAATGCTCACTTTTGACGGGGTTAAAAAAAAAAATTATCTTTAAGAAATATACAGTATATAAAAAAAAAAAATATTCAAAATTTTCTAAAATAAAAAATTTTTTATACCAGATAAAATATGGGAACAATGATCTAATTGCAATTCCCAACCACAAAAATATACATGCAATTTTTTGTTTACTAAGAACCCATACATTACGTCTACACATCACCATAATCGATTAGTTTGATTTCTTCTCGTAATGAATTGGTCCATATTACGGATACAGAGATTCTCAGTAAAGGTCCATTGGTAACTTAGGAAATTAAGTGGTTTGATACGTAAAAACGATCAAGAATAATTTCTGTTTGATCTTCATAATTAATATAAAGAACCATTGTTGCTGACAAGTTCCAACATCTCTTCGACCTTTAATTTTGCACGATTTAAAGCTTCTCTTGCTGCGGTAAAATCTGTTGGCTCAGGCCGTTTATCCAAAGTATAATCTCTGTATGCCTCACGATACGATGAAGTCACGGATGATGTTGAGGGTAGTGATTTAGTTGGTTTACTACTTTTCTTCTTTTGGGCAGAGCTAGGAGTACCAGGTACAGAGCTACTTTTTGTACCCTTTGTGGACTTTGTGGATGAATTTTTGTTAGTTGTAACAGATGACCTCCTCGTACCAGGTGTACTACGAGATGTAATTTTTGTAGTAGCAGGAGGCTTAGGCTCTCGATGTTTAAATATTTTTAATTGATCAGTTAAATTCTTCAACGTCAGTGAATCCGCGTCTCGGAGGATATCGGTTAGTATAACAGATTCTTCTTCAATGGAAGTGGCATGACTACTAACACTAGTTGCTCGTGATGGCGGACGTGAAGAATAGGTCGGCGACAAAGTAGGGGAAGAAGTCTCATAATAATAATTATTATGTTTTTTAGCATAAGGATTGCGAGTTGGACTTGGTGCTCTAGTAAAAGGGGGTGATGAATATGTTGATTGATAAGAACGTGGAGTTGATGGTGTGGGCGATTTTGCGGCTAAAGACTTGTCTCTTAATATTGATGGTAATGGAACTTGAGGTGAACGTTTACTTGAAACATGATGTAAAATATCATCATCATCTCCATCATCAAGATAAAATTTATTACGAGAAGGACTTTGACGATATCGTTCTTTATCATCTTCGAGATAAAATTTATTATGAGAAGGACTTAAAGGACTTGAGCGATAATAACGTTCTTTATCATCATCTAATGGTAGATTTGATTTTGGAGGTCCCATAAGCGATTTTGACGTTATAGCAGATGAATAGATCTGTTCCTTATAAATCCGTGGATCCAGACCATTACTTTTTCTTGATTTATAATCATTATCATAAAATCCATTTGGAGTTGCAGGACTACTTGGAGTTGATACAGAACTACTATCACTTGCAGTGGCACGGTGACGTAGATGATCTAAATATGAAGGATTAGCATTAGGAAGAGGGGAACGAACATATGAACGTGATGGATCAAGATCACTTGTCGAAGAATATGAAGTATTTCGTGAATGCCCATTGCTATGCCCATTACTATGCCCATTAGCATGTCGACCATAATGTTCTTTGTCAGAAATATGAGCGGATCGATTGCCATGCTTATAATATTCATCATGATCTTGTTTACTATAACGAATATCGTAACCATTATCAAGTTGACGTTCCGTTATATAATAATCATAATTGACATTTGATAAATGATTATTCTTATAACGATCATCATAAGATTTATCATGTTGCTGTTTATCATAATCGTCTTTGCGATTAGTATTCATTGGATCACGACATCTATCATATAAATGTTCATAATCACGTCTTCGTTCATCCATGTGCGTATCACGATTTCGAGGCCTTCCAGGGAGGTCAATAGCAGAAATATTACGCCGACGATGATCAGGGGTATCTTGTTGAGATATAAGATCATTTTGGTTAAATACAGAATTACGTAAAGGAGAACTACCAGAACTTTTAGTTCTTTGCATCTCATTACTCTTAAATTTTTGAAGTTCACTACTTTTAGATTTTTGTATTTCAGTACTTTTAGCCTGGCTTGAAGAATAATAATCATTTAAATTGAGTTTACTAAATTTATCGCTGGGAACATCATTGTAGTCACTACGATAATTACGAAATTCGGCTGAAGTAGATGGTCTCATTAAGCCACGAGAATGATTACTCTTTATAGAAGTCGAATCAGTAATTAAAGGTTGATGTTTACGTGATTCAGAAGATTTTGAATCATTACGATTAAAACCATCTAACAATTTAAAATTATCGAGTGGAGCAGACCAAGAACCTCTTCTTTGAAGGGGTTTTGTTTCATGATTATAATATTCTATCCAGTCTACAAATTGTTGTTTGTATTCGGTTTCATAAGGATCAGATAGTTGATTAGCAAGTTCTTTTGTTTTTAATTCGTCTCTTAAAGAGTACATTGAACGACAACGAGATCGTTTAGATAAACGAGAACCTTCCAAAACCACAATCTTTTTTTCAACAGGATCATAATTTGACTAATATATTAAGAGAAGAAATAAGTAAAATAATAGAATATAGTAAATATTCAAAAAAAAAAAATTTTACCTCATTTGAATTGTTTCTGAGACCATCTTTCCACTTATCAATACCAGCACTTGAAGTGAATTTTCCAGAATTAGAGACAAGTATATCTGGTTCAGCAACGTAAGTACCATTTTGTTTTACAGTTGTTTCAACGGTTATTATTTCTTTTGTTAATTCGGGGGTTCTTCTGACAGCATTAATGTCTTTTATTGATTCGGGGGTTCTTCTAACAGCATTAAAGTCATCAGTTGTCAAAGTTTTTATAGATACATCTGCTAACCGAGCAGTATCGACAGACTTATTATCAATAACAGAAGATTGGGGAACAGATTGAGGAGCTGGTTTAGGAGTAGATGGGGAAGCAGATTGAGGAGAAGATTTTAAATCAGATAATAATTCCTTAACAGGCGTAGAAGGTGCGCTTTTCCAGCAATATTCTCTTTGATATTCAGATTTAGAAGGAGCCCTTGGTGGTTTATTTACTTGAACAATTGGAAGTTTCCATTGATATGAACGCTGATATTCACTACTGATTTGATTATTTGACGAACCAGCCGGCTTTTGCAAATTATCTGTGGACAAGGATTGCGTCAGTTGAGAGCCAGCATCTAATGAAACTTCCGCTGACATTTTTTTTTAATGTGTGGATAATTATTATTTTTTTTTTTTATTTTTTTTTTTTTTACGGGTACTATAAAAATTTGCTTAACCGTTACTTGAATATTATTTAATCTAAAATTCAAGTCAAAAAAGCTCTTTATTATGTGAAATCAATTTGTGGTATCCGCCATAACGCAATCCTAAACAATTTGCGTTATCTCAGTGCTAAATGTATAGCGTTGAGATAAATTAAGATGATGGTATCTGGGTTAACGGTTAAAAATTAATAGGGGTTTATTAAGGAGATGAAATAAAATTACAAGTCAAAAAGTGAAAATTAATTTTTTTTTAATAACTTGTTTAAGGAAAAGATTTTTTTTTTTTAAAGAAAAGAAAAAAAAAAAGAAAAAAAACAACACTTACAACGGATGTTAATGGTAATCGGGAGAAAGCCGGTTGTAATTATATTTATTTGGTATTTTATAATTTGTCTATATTTATATTATTTATATTATATAAAAAAAAAAAAAAAAAAAAAAAGGAAAAGGGGACTTAAGGGGAAGTCGAGGATGGGGGTAGGGGGGAGGAAAAGAAAAGTGGAGAATAACAAGATATATACCTATACTGTGTTATGAAAACTGATTACCCAATTATATAGATGGAAGGTTGAACGAAACCTTATTGCATAAATTCTTTTTGAAAGTCAGTCGCTGTGTTTGAAAGATGGACTTTTTTTTTATATGTAAGTAGTAACTCGTCAATAAAAAAAAGTGATACGACGTGAATTGTGATTTATAAAAGAAATGGCATATCAAATGAACTCTATTTGAAGACGAGGAATTGCAAGCAAAACAAAAAAAAAGTTACAAATATTTCAAAAAAAGGAAATTGCAACTTCGGGAATCCAGAAACTACCGAAAAAATTAAACTACAACATATAAAATGATAAATAAATGCAGCATGAATGCGCAACCTATATGTCCCTACTTATGACGAAATTTTGATCGGTCATACATAAATGTGATAATACCACATTTCATTTTCATTTTTTGATGAAGAGATTAACAGAGCAACCGTCACATATACAGATATACAGATATAAAGAACATCAAGTTAATTAAAGTTCAACCATTGATTCAGAGACGCCAAATTTCATTAATTTCAGACATCATAGAAATTACAGATTTTTATTCTTAATCCACATGTTCTCACTTTCTTTAGGTTAGGCTTGTGTAAAAGAGCAATTCACATGAACTTTCTGGAAACACAAATTCATTTTCGGTAAATTTAAACAAATTAAGCTGCACGACTGTATGTGTTTAGTAATTATCTTTTTTTATATAGCCATTATACTCATCACACCTTTATTTAACGGGGGCGTATTGTTTATTTATTGTCAGACTATGAGAACTATGAGCAATATATATATGTAGCCCACTTGACCTTAAACCTATCTCTACGTATACTTTTAATTAATTGCCATTATCATAAAGAGGATCCTTAAACTGATAAAGACTAAACGCCACAGCTTTAAAAATTTGATGAGATCTCGGTAAGGCTGAAAAATCTCTTTATTAAAGAAATATGATCTGATGGTTCACTCTAGCATTTAATCAAAGGAATTTGCATGTCTTTATGAGTCTTTTTCTTAAAGTTCAACATAAAAATAGAAATCCATTCTATTAGAAGAGAACAACTGTATCACTTCAGATCAACGCTTATTATATGCATTGCATGAAAACCGCCAATTTTTTTGTTGTTATAATAATGGAATGGTGATACTGCTTGAATAAAACCATCTACGGAACTATTAAATTACTGAACAAAGAATATAACCAATCAAAAAGATTAGATTTCGATATCAAACATTAATTCATTACTTATGTCATTTATTGTGACCACTGAATATTTATTCTTGTGACCCGTGATTTGAATAAACAAAGACCATTATTAATTATTTCAAGGAGGCTGTGTGATATAACAAAGTCGCCTTATAAAGAAACTTAATATTTCTTCTAATTGCTTAGTTCCATTCTTAGGTAAGCATGGAAATAAGAAAATCATTCTCGGAAGTTAATCCATTCCAACTTTTTTAACTTTAATATTTACACTTACGACTTTTAAATATTAATCCATCGTCCAAATTTAGCCCTAGTTATGTATTACTATCCTTTATATATCCTTTATTATTATTATTATTGTATATTATTATTTACTCTC